GGGGGAGAAGAAGAGAGAGAGAGAGAACGAGGGAGAAGGAGAGAGAGAATCCCAAGCAGGCTCCCTGCTGCTGGCCCAGAGCCTGACTTGAGGCTCAGCCTCACGAACCACGAGATCATGCCCTGAGCTGACACCAAGAGTTGGATGCTTAAGCGACTGAGCCACCCAGGCGCCCCGGCCCCAAGTTGTTTTAGTAAAGCCTGTGGTGTCTCTTAAGGGGCTCAGGCTCCCGGATCTGGAGGCCCCTGAGCACAGCGCAGGTGCAGAGCACAAGTCCGTTTCAGAATTCGCTGAGTGGAGTCCACGCCTTCTCTGCCTTGTTCTGACCTTTTTGTGGCTACCTGAGGGTTGTTGACGCGGAGAGTCCTCAGCGTGGGGACCAGCTTGGTCACCGGTCAGGCTCTTACTTTAGAAAGTGGTTCCAGGGGCGCCTGGGTGTCTTAGTCGGTTAAGCGTCCGACTTTCGCTTCGGTCATGATCTCGCGGTTCGTGGGTTCGAGCCCCGCGTCGGGCTCTGTGCTGACTGCCAGCTCAGAGCCTGGAGCCTGTTGCAGTCTGTGACTCCCTCTCTCTATCACCCTCCCCTGCTCACGCTGTCTCTCTTTCTCTCTCTCTCTCTCTCCTAAAAATAAATAAAAATATTAAAAAAATTTCCAGACGGTTCGAGCGAGCTTGCCCGTAGGTAGTATCATGACTGGTGTCGTGTTGACACGAATTACTCCGCATGCAGAAACGGCCGAAAGCGGGCTCAAAAGGCAAATGAGGAAATAGGAGGTTAATTTCCCTAATATGTTAAAAGTTACTACACCTAAAACAAAGTCGGGAACCCAGTAGAAAAAATGGACAGAGGATATGGATAGGCAGTTCGCAGGAAAGAAAACAGCGCATGGCTGTTTGGTATATGCAGGTTGCTCAAGCCACCGTAGAAGCTCGCCTTTTCTATTTTGCGTCCTTCGAGATTCCGCCTTCGTTCTCTAGGGCGGCCCTCGCGAAGCAGCATGGCCCGGGCGCCCTCAGCAGCCGAAATGTCTTTCCTCGTGGTCTGGAGGCTGGACGTCCGAGGTCGAGGCGTCGATCGGCGGCCCGGTGCCCCCTGAGGCCTCTCTCCGGCCTTGCTGACCTCTGACGCCTCTGTGTGTGCCCGTGTCCTGGCGTATTGGAAGGGCCCAGTCATGCCCACCCTAATGACTAGATTTTTAACTTCATTACCTCTCTACAGACCCAGGGCCCAGGTAGCGGTGACCTTTGAACTGCTCAGGTCTGCTTCGGGCGCGCTCCTCGGGCTCCATGAACGCACCGCCCGAGCGACCTTTTCTGTAGCTCGATTCCAACACTGCAGCGTGTAACGCGTGCAGCACGCGAATCTGGGGTGTGTGAGGTGCCTGCTCCTGTTCCCACGTGGCTTCCAGTCAGCAGGCCGTTCACAGTGAAGGCTTTGAGGGGGACCCAGGACCGTGGGGGGCGGAGTGGCAGCGCCCCCGGTCCCTGCGTTGTTCAGGGCTCCGCGGTACAGACTTTGGGGTCCCGGGGCTTAGGCCTTGTGCTCTGAATCTGGGGAGGGGACACCATTCCGTTTAGAACCGTGACAGAAAAGCTGGCCAAGGAAAGAGGACATGCGCACTCCTGTGTTGCTGGAGGCATAATAAGCTGAGACAGCTTCTTTGAGTTGTAATTTGTCATTGTTTCTTGAAGTTCTAGGGGATTCCTTTGATCTTGAAGTTCGCCTTCCAGGAACTCCTCAGAAGGATAACCTGTAAGGGTTCTTCCTTGACACTTGGCTCATGATAGCAAGAGACTGGAAACAACTCCCTGTTGTCCACCTGGCATGTGGTAGTTACGGCTTTTTTTTAGGGGGTAAAAAAAAAAAAAAAAAAGAGTTTCTTAGGGCCAAACAGTGACTGCTCTCAGGAGAGCAAGGTGGAGAGCCGTGTGTGTGGAATGTTGCCATCTGTGTGGAAAGGGAGAAAGAATTTATGGGGGTTTGTGTAAAATATTTTTCGGAGGCGACACGAGATGTGGGGGTGGAGGCTGGGCAGCGGGGGGGCCGGGGAGAGAGGGAAAGTTCTCAATGTATACATTCCGGTGCCTTTTAAATTTTGAACCTTGGATTTATTAGAGGAACGGTTTTCTTTTGCTTATGAGAAAATTGTATCATGAAGTTGTTTATAATTTACACTTTTTGAGGTAGTTTTTAAAAGTTTATTTTGAGAGAGAGCGAGTGAGCAAGGGCACATGAGCTGGGGAGGGGCAGAGAGAGAGAGAGAGAGAGAGAGAGAGAGAGAGAATCCCAAGCAGGCTCTGCACTGTCAGCACAGAGCCCCACATGAGGCTTGAACTCACAAACTGTGAGATCATGACCGGAGCTGAAACCAAGTCGGATGCTTAATCAGTTGAGCCCCTCAGGTGCCCCTTGAGATGATTTTTAAAAAATGAAATTATTCTGATTAAAATCGTTCTTGTTTTAAGAACTCTTGTGATGTATATTTCCCCCCCGTAAGTCATGGTTTGGAAGGACTGTGATTCCCATTCTGGGCAGTGACTCCTTGGTCACTTTGTCACCGAGAACGGGTCGGGTGTGTCCCCTGAGCTGACTATCCTTCTCAGACATTCTTGTCTCAGGGCCTGTAGGGCAATAAGTTTTTTTTCATTGTAGTGTAGAATGTGTATGAATCACTGTTGCAGATTTTACTTTGCTCAGACCCTCCCATGCAGAGAACTACTATTTAGCCCTGTTAATTGTGCTGTTTCGGTTTTACGGGTTATTTTAAGGCATTTATGGGCGATGGTGTTGATAAAGCTAATAGCACTTTGTATGTGTTTAGTACCTTGAACTTTGCAAAGTGCTTTCACATTCATTATCTCATTATATTGTCAGTTGAACTGTGAGGTTTTGAAACAGAGATCATTACCATCTTTTCCCGGATGAAGAGTTCGAAAGCTTCGATGCCTCACAGATAACCAAGCCAGAGGTCTCAGGGTTATAAACTGGCTCTGCTAAGAATGAGGAGAGAATTAGTGGTCAGCACGTGTGGTCTAGTCGTACTTCAGGCGCAACGACGTGGATCGCATAGGTCACGGGTTTTCAGCGGGGGCGGTTTTGGCCCCAGGAGACATTGGTGACGTGTGGAGACATTTTACACTGTCAGGACTGCGGATGTGCTGCTGGTGTTTGGGGGGTAGAGCGGCAGGGGTGCTGCTCACCAACCCCCAGTGCTCAGACAGCTGCCCCCCTACCCCCCCCCCCCCCCCAGCAAAGGCTCACCCAGCCTCGAATGCTGAGGGGGAGAGAGCTTGTTGTAGCTCAAAGGCAGCGTGTCCTGCCTGCCACTCTCGGGGCCCGTCTTACACTCCCCCAGCTCAGCCATTTACTGCCCCCTTTTGAACGTTTGTTTTAGGGTTGGTGGAGGTGGAAGTTGTTGGGAATCCTGACCGATGGGCAAGTTAAGAGACCTTTTCTGTCTTGGGCTGCGTGTGCGTTGTGCACGGGGGCGTGGTGCTGCCCGTGGTGGCACCAGTTACGGGTCCGCACCGGGGGCTTCTCTGTATTTGGAGATCTGTCCTTCCCTCTGTCCCTGGATAACATGAAAACTGCCCGCAGCATCTGTGTCCTGACCCAGGTGGGTAGGTGGCAGAGTTTATGCTTATTAGCACCCTTCTCTTCTGGTGGAGGAGAAACCAGCAGCCGGGGGGTGTGGCTTGGGACTTGTAGCCTGGAGGGGAGGAGTGAGGCAGAACCTGCAGCTTTTAGGGCTCCTCGGGACCCTGGGGGAAGAGTCAGCCCCCAGAAAGGGAAAGAATGATGGCGCACAGAGGATGGGAGCTGTGGAGGAGCGTCCAAGGGGAGGGGGCCAGTGAGTGATGGCGTCGGTGGGACTGGGGGTCGCTGGTGGGAAGGGGCTGTGCTGGGTCGTGCACCCCCAGAACCACTCACAGGTTTCTCACCACCAGTGCCATGACGGGTATTCACATCACTAGGGGGCGTTCTTGCCTGCTCGCGGTGCATCAGTCACTTGTTCAGAGCAGAGGCTTGGAGAGCAAATAACTGCCTGGGTCCTTCAGGTGGTGAGGAGGGCTCAGGATCCGAACCCTGGTCTGGCTCGTCCCCGAGCCCGTGGGCGCCGCACCACCTCACGGACGCTCCCTCTCCAAGCGCAGTGTGGAAATTGGCTTACTTGTTGGTTTTCAAGGGAGTATCGCTCTAGGATTTGTGTTTAAAAAAAGAACTCTGAGGGGGCACCTGGGTTAAGTGTCCCACTCTTGACCCTCAGCCCAGGTCTTGATCTCAGGGTTGTGAGTTCAAGCCCTGTGTTGGGTTTTGCGCTGGGTGTGAATCCCACTTAAAACAAAACTCTGGAAGTCATGGAGGTCTAGTGGCTTCAAGGGAAAAGTCACAGAGTGGACAGTGGTGAGGACATAGACACCAGCATTAGGCTGGGGCCTGCTTTCCTGGAAAGCTCCCTGAAGATTACGGTGGCCTTTGGGCTGCCTTTCAAGGGAGTGGAGGAAAGGCTGCATTTCTGTCCATGCCTCCCTTCCCCATCCTCCCCATGAGTTATCACCTTCGCTCAGCTCCAACCGGCGCTGCACATCCCAGAGGTGCAGGGCAGAGAGACAGGGCAGGGACCTATTCCCGGGGCTGCCTGCTCGGGCACCTCCTGGCTGACCTGGGGGCTGGCCGTGTGTGACACCACAGGCCCTGACCCTCACACCCAGCTGTCCTGAGGGTCACCGCCTGAGGTTATTTAGAAGGGGAGGCCACCCCGGTCCGCTCCTTGAGAGATTCTGGCTCAGTAGGTGCAGAACCTCCTGCCTCCATGTGCCTGCCGCGCGCAGAACGAACCGGGACGGCCCCACCGCGGGGTCACGTGCACACACCTTTCTTGCTGTTCAGTATTTATGAAATTTTCCAGTTCCAAATACCCTGAGGTTATTTAAAATCTTCTCTGGTTTTCCTTTTTAAAAATAACTTCCCTCTTGTTTTGTTTTCTTTTCTCCTGTAGGACACAAAGTTGTGGATAATAATGGAATATCTTGGTGGAGGCTCTGCACTAGATCTAGTAAGTATCATACCTGGTGCCTAACTGTGTACCAGAGTACTTCTCCCGAAATCAGGGTTGTAAAGACGACTTTTTATCCGTTTCTGTTTCCTCCTTGAGTTGCATGAAAAAGGGACCAAACTATTCCTTATAATACATTTTTCTGCTTCTAATAATAATACTGAAAAGGGCGACTGGGTGGCTCAGTCAGTTAAGCATCAGCCTTTGGCTCAGGTCACGATCTTGCAGTCTGTGAGTTCAAGCCTCACATCCGGCTCTGTGCTGACAGCTCAGAGCCTGGAGCTTGTTTCGGATTCTGTGTCTCCCTCTCTGTCTGCCCCCGCCCTGCTCACACTCTGTCTCTCTCTCAAAAATGAACATTAAAAAAAAAAAATTTAAAAACCTAGTAATATTACTGAAAATTAAAATTCTGCTTTTGAAGCCAGTTGTGTTGTTTCCTGGGAAGCCAGTGAATTTTGTTTATAGAAGTGAAGGATTTTGCCCGTCATTATCTTACTTAAGAGCTTAAGTTTGTTAGTTTGTCTTCCAGAATGGGCTTTTACTTCTGTGGGGTGGATACCCTGTTATTCAAATGGTGTTTCCTATTCAAATGGTGGTTTAGCTTCCCAAATATGCGTGTCACGTTTTCGTTTATAACGAATTAGAATCAGGATTTTGAAAACGTAAGAAATCTGATTTCCGGAGTGAGACGGGCAGGCAGAGTCGGATGATTGCTGAACAGTGTCACACGTAGGAGCACAGTCAGGCAAGAGCGCACGCTTGTCACGCGTCGGAGCACTGCCAGGCAGGAGTGCATGCTTCTGCTTCTCAGGTGCACACACAGATCCCTTGCTGGCACTCACCGTGCGTGGATTGTGGAGCCAGCCCTGCCCCCCACCCCCTGCGGTCCTGTCCCCTGCCTGGCCTGGACTCCTGAGCCAGCCCATGTGCAAGGTAGTGGAACCGAGCAGGGGGGTTGACCTCCAACCCACGGTGTGCAGCTTGTTGCTCTTGGTAGAACACGGTCACAGGTTGGCCTCTGAGAAGAGGCTCACAGATAACCCTGGAGCCTTCTCTTCCTCCTTCCTGGGGGTGCATCCTTCTTGACTTAAAAAAAAAAAAATGCAGTTGATTTTAACCTGCTGTTTGAGCTGTAAAATATGATATCTGGTGTGAAGAATAGTATTAGACACAATATGGCTTAGTTTTTGTTTTTAGTTTTTTAGTAATCTCTACACCCAAGGCAGGGCTCAAACTCACAACCCTGAGATCAAGTCGCATGCTCTTCACACTGAGCCTGCCAGGTGCCCCCAGTGTATGGTAGTTCTAAAGAGACACGAATGTTAGAGTAATATAGGCATATGTTTTATTTTGAATGCACACATGCAAAAACGTTCAATCTGTTAATTTTTTTTAATTTGAAGGATAATTAAGTAACAAATTGAAATTAAATGTTAGTAGGGCCCCATAGAAGCTGCTGTGAGAAAACACTGGGTTTTACTACTGAACGTAATTTCTCAAGCCCATCTGCTCCTGGGGTGCCGTGACTTGTGAATATAATGGGTGTCACGCACTTAAAGGCTTTATAACGTAAAACGTGATAGATTTCGAGTGAATTCATTTTTTGCTCAGATAATATTAGTTGTGTGCCCACTATGTGTCAGACGCTATTCTCGCCACTGGGAGTCAGCACAGTGGACGAGGCAGAAGGAAATCCCGGCATGGAGCTGAATTCTAATTGGAGAAGACCGCGCGTGATACCGTGTGTGGGGAAGTGCTCGTGGCGGGAGGAAGCCCTCTGGGTGGATTGGGAGGGTCGGTGTGAGAGTTAGCAGCGGCTGGCCGGAGAGCGGCTGGGATGGCCTTGGAGTCTAATTAAGAAGGAACCGTGCTCCACAGAGTGGTCACTCAGTCAGGCAGAGATGTGTGACAAACTTAAAAATGAATGTGCATTATGATTTTATGTTTTTAAATATTTTTGAATAAGCGTCAGTGGGGGTGGGGCAGAGAGAGGGGACAGGGGTCCGAAGCGGACTCTGCGCTGACAGCAGAGGTCCTGACATGGGATGTGAACCCGTGGGCTGTGAGATTGTGTCCTGAGCCGAAGTTGGACCCTCAACTGACTGAGCCACCCAGGCGCCCCAGGCAACGTGGTTTTAAAGGATGAGATGGTGTGTTCATTAACGTTAGGCGGAGCTGCTGTTGTAGTGGACCCCAAACAGCGGCTCACACAGGAGAGAAAAGTACAGTTGACCCTTTAATAACATGGGCTTTAACTGCACAAGCCCACTTACGTGCCGATGTTTCTTCCTAGACAGGTCGGTACCGTAAATGTATCTTCTCTTCCTGATGATTTTCTTAACGCCATTTTCTCTAGCTTCCCTTCTAGTAAGAATATAGTACATGATACACAGAACACACAAAATGTGTGGGAAGGGACGGTTCATGTTATTATTCAGGCTTCCAGTCAACGGTAGGCTATTAGTAGTTAAGTTTTTGGGGAGACCAAAGTTGTATGCTGAATTTCAACTACACAGGGGGCCAGTGCACCTAACCTCTACTCTGTCCATGGGTCAACTCTCTTTCTGTCCCATGTGTGGGGTCACTGGGCTCCGGTCCACATGGTCATCAGGGCCCTGCTCTGGAGGTCTGCTCAGCCGTCTGCTGCCCACGGTTTCCTGTGGTCTTAGGTCACTGTCCTCTCTGGCTGCCTGTGTTTTCAAGGCCAAGACCAGGAAGGGGCAGTCGCTTCTGTGCATATCCCACAGGTGAGAGCTTAGTCACCTGGCCAAGCCTGCTGCTGCAGAAGCTGGCATGCGTGGCCTTGTTGGGTGGCCGTGTTCCTGGCAAATCGTCCCTGTTACAGAGCCGAGAGGGGAGAGCAGACTTGGGGGAGAGGGAATTCAAAGTCACCCAGAGATGAGACGCCCGGGTGTTTTTCCTGGGAGTTCTTTCTCTTATAAAGATTATCTGAAGAGTCCGCAGTCCTCTCCATGAGGGACAGCATCATGTTTATATTGCTTAGATGTGTTAATGGCAGCGGTGCTGATCCAGGACTCTGAGAACTTAGCGGGTCCTCCCCACCTGTGACGATCTCTGGTGTAGAGAACAGCCGAATACCTTTTTATAGTGAGTTTTGACACTATCCATGGTGGATCCTTTGAGGATCTCCTCTCCCTGTAAATAGGGTGTCTCTTCCTCCTGGCCCCCCACTGCCTGCCACCCATGGCATATAAATCATTGGTGGGTGGTGTTTAGGTCAGACTTAAAAGGGCCTGGCCATGCGTGTATTATTAATCAGAGAGCCAGCTCCTCACGGTCCAGGGAAGATCTTTTAATTAGTTTTCTCCGCCCTTCTTGTCTCCCCTTGGTGATGAAACCAGGTGGCTTTGCTATTTCTTTCCGGAGATGTGATAACAGAAGGGAGGAGGTGGTTAAATCCAAGTGTCGCCAAATGTTACTGATTATCTGCTGGGGTAGAAACCTGCCGGAGGAGGAAGTGGAACCCATGCTCTGTGGTAGGGTTTTTTTTGAAGGACTGGATTACCCTTCTGCGTTCTGGTGCATTCCGGGCCAGCAGCCCTGCCTTCCCGACTCCGCTCTCCCAGGTTACCAGAGAAGCTCCTTTTCCTCTTTCTGAGTATTAAGATGTCTCCAACCTGTGAACAGTCAGAAATAGCTGTGGAGAAGCAGACAAGGCAGGGGTTTCAGTTGGTGTTCTTCGGAACAGTAGTTTTGATGTGTATTTCTTGAAAATAAGACCCTTGGTCAGATAATTGTGGGGAAAATTAGGTTCTGTGGAATTAAGCGTGCAACACGCCACCTTTGTCTGAGGTGATCTTTGATAATCTGAATTAGAAATCGGGAGGCACTTGGGTGGCTCAGTCACTTAAGCATCTGACTCTTGATTTCGCCTTAGGTCAAGTGCTCATGGTTGTGAGATCGAGCCCCACATCAGGTTCAGTGCTCAACAGCATAGAGCCTGCTTGGGATTCTCTCTCCCTCTCTGTTGCGGCCCCCTCCCTCACTCTGGCTCACTCTTTCAAAATAAATTAACTTAAAAATGCAATTAAAAAATTAAAAGGGGAAATTGGGATACACCCTGGCTGGTTAGTTGAGTGTGACCTCCAAGTGTGACATGCGGTGGGACCAGAGTGACAGGCATGTCGTCTTGCTCCTGGGTTCTGCACGGGGGACTGCCGAGAGACGGAGGGCTAGGGGAGGCAGCCCGGTTCACCCCCACCTTCCCTCCTAGCCGCCCGCACGGGGGGTGTTCCCGGGGACCCCGTGGGGCCTGCAGCGGACGGAAAGCAGTGCCAGGCAGAGGTGTGGCCGTCACAAAGGCAGATGGGGGCCTCGCTCACCCCCGTCTTGGCGCCATTAGACAGCTGCTCTGTCGCCCTCACCCCGGCGAAGGCCGAGACACGCGAGCAGGCCCGAGAGAGTGCATATGTCTGTGGGAACGCTGCCCTAGAGAGGCTCTTAGCTGTCATTCCCTTTGGAGTAAATGACTTTTGGATTTGGATAAATCACTTTTTTGCCCCCAAGTTTATTTATTTTGTGGGAGAGAGAGATTGAAAGAGAGAGACAGACAAAGACAGAAGTCAGTCCCAAGCAGACTCCAGGCTGTCAGCACAAAGCCCAGCTTGGGGCTTGATCCTGTGAACCTGGGCCGAAATCAAGAGTCAGCTGCTCCACTGACTGAGCCTCCCAGACGCCCCACTTTTTTTGTTTTTGGGTTTTTTGAGTGTAGTTGACACGTAACGTTACTAGTTTTAAGCGTACTGCATAGTGATTTCACAAGCGTATACGTTATGCTGTGCCCCGCACCAGTGTGGCTGCCATCTGTCCTGAACATCACTCTTGCAGCACCATTGAGTGTGCTCTCTGGGCTGTAGCTTTTACCCTCCGTACTCGGAGGGTAAAATACTCATTCCGTACCCGGAAACCTGTCCCTCTCCGCTCCCCTTCACCATCTTGGCCAGCACGTCCCTCCTCTGGCAGCCACTGGTTCTCTGTATTCACACGTCTGATCCTGTGTAGTTCATCTGTCTTTTTAAAATTAACTCAGGGTCGGTCATGAGGTGGTGGCTTCCTTCGATGGAATTGTGAGAATTTGGGTGATGACAGCTTTCCCTATCAGATCTAGAAACGTAATTCTGAGGATTATGAGATGGATAAAAAATTAATATAAATGATGAGAATTCTGTCCCTCTCTCTGATGGCCCCGTTATTAGCCCTGCAGGGAGTGTTAGATTGTTGTGCTGATTTGTGTGACTATTAAGAGTGGTTGAATTCCCTCCCTGCTCTCCAGTGGTGGTGGCATATTCATCAAGTCTCTGCTGTTTTCTTTACTTTTTGGAGGGTCCTTTAAATAGGTTTTAATTGTTTAGGTCAAACATTTTTATTTTATTTTTTAAGTGTTTATTTACTTAATTTGAGAGAGAGAGGGGGCTCAAGCAGGGGAGGGGCAGAGAGAGAGGACAGAGAATCCCAAGGTTTCCAGCTGTCAGCATAGAGCCCGATGCAGGGCTCGAACCCATAAACCGCGAGATCATGACCTGAGCCGAAAGCAGGAGTTGAACACTTAACTGACTGAGCCACCCAGGCGCCCCTGGAGTAAAGAAGTTTTTAGATTTTAATCTTGTCTGTTTAACACGGGTATTGACTGTGTTTGATCATCTCAAACTACTCCTAAAATGATCACTTGAGTAACTTTCATAATTCTTTTCTTACTAGTTAGAACCTGGCCCTTTAGATGAAACTCAGATTGCTACTATATTAAGAGAAATACTGAAAGGACTTGATTATTTGCATTCGGAGAAGAAAATTCATAGAGATATTAAAGGTAAGAAAACACATGGCCTTTGTGCCTTTGGGATCCTGAGGCGGGTGGGAAGGCTCCTATGGGTAGGCTCGTACTCCTCAAAGGGAGGTTGTCCTGCGTGTGTTTGGGGGGTGCTTTCGGCATGCCCGGGGTGGGGGTGGCTTTGAGGGAGACCCCACCGAAAGCGTCCCTGGGCCTCCTGCCGGCGTTGAGCACGTGGGCTCCGTGACGGGGGAGTGTGCGTGTCCCCGACACGCTGACGGTTGGAGCGGAGCAGCACGTGGCGTCAGCGGGCGTCCTGGGGTTTGTTGTTGCAGCTGCCAACGTTCTGCTGTCCGAACACGGAGAGGTGAAGCTGGCCGATTTTGGCGTGGCGGGCCAGCTGACAGATACCCAGATAAAAAGAAACACCTTCGTGGGCACCCCCTTCTGGATGGCGCCCGAGGTCATTAAGCAGTCTGCCTACGACTCCAAGGTAAGGGCCGCCTCTTCCCCTTCTCGGGTCCAGAGACTCGTCGTCTTTTGGGACCCAGCCTGGCAGCTCTTCCAGGGGGCGGACGCGGCTTCCTTGAAGCAGGGCGTGAAGGTAGTTCCCCCCCGGCCTCGGTGAGAACCAGGTTTCGTCTCCCAGCTCCTCTATCATTTAATATCCTTTATGTATCCAGCCCACACTTGCTGATGTTGGTTTTTTTAGCTTAAACAGTGTGTGCTTGATGGTGGTGGGGACTAGAGAAAGCTCTTTTCCGGTGGGTGTGACGGGATGGAGGAGCAAGGTGGCTAGAGTGGGCTCGGGCCTCCTGAGGCCGCCAGGTAGGGGCGTGTGGGTCCGCAGAGGCGGGTGGATAGGTGGTACTCGAGGCCTGGGCGGGAGCGGATGAAGGACAGGGGCCCTGGACCGAGCAGTTTTAAGGGACAAGCAGAGAAGGAGGTTCCCACAGAAGAAATGAGAGTTCCTAAAAATACAAGCCCAGAGGCTGGAAAGATTGTGCTTTTAAAGTTCGTGCCACCGATTCTTCCTCTCAGTGTCCGTAGTGCTCAGTTAGGATCAGTATTCTCGGAGGTTCCTTCCCATCATGATTCCTCTTTTCCACCCTTTTTACCTTCACACGTTGTCCTCTCCCAGTTTTTCCTGGGTTCTGTTTGCCTGGTACCTTCAACTTTCTTAAACCTCTTAGAGTTTTGCCTTGGGAATCTTTTGATTTAACTCCCCTCTCCTCCAGGCTGCTCTTTCTCAGATCATACACAGAACAGTCTTCACACGGTCCACAGAGAATTAATTGGCTCTTCTGAACAGCTTCTAGGAAAACAAATATTTAACTCACATATGTTTACGTGCCAGGCGCTGTTTTCCTCGTTTTCTCTTGTCAGCAGACTGGACTTGTCCCACCTTGTTAAACACAGCACACAGAGCACCAAGTACTGTAACCTTCCCTCCGGCCCTCAGGGCAGCAGTGCGGGCCTGCAGCTGTTGAAAGAGTGGATCAGAGTCGCAGGTGTACCTGCTTCCAGCTCGGCAGGGACGCACCCGGCTCTCTCGCTTTTGAGTTGTGGCTGTGACCGCCACGGCCATGCCGATGGTATGACTGGTGGGTTTTCAGCCCCTGGTTTCACAGAGCCGTGTGGGCCTCCTCATGCTTCTTGCCACGTGGATGGGTTCCTTCCATCCAGAGCCCTCTCTGCAGCCACTGTTGTGGGGGTCCTAGCATTTTAGGGCCTGACTCGTCCATTCTCTTTATTTTAGGCTGAGGCCCATTTATCAGAGTTGTAGGTCTAGATTTGGGGAGGGACCAGAACCCAAGTTCTGAACGCCTCTGATTACACCACGCTGATGACCTTTTTCTCTTCCTTTCTGGTAAATGAGCTGATTCACCACGGCGCTTGTGACTCAGGATTCAGATCTTATATTTTCAGTATGAAAACACCCATCACTGCTCACTTAGCGTTTTTTCCCCAGGAAGTGGCCTGGTTATCCAAGACCTTCACCTTTCCTCTCTTCCTCTTGCAGGGCCGCTCTGGACTTGGCCCAGGATGTGGCCCCTGGCAGCAGAGAGTTCACAGATCATAAAGCTCTGCCACCTTTCTTTCCTGGAATTCTTGTCCACATCCAGATGCTCTTATCTGTGTCACACTGTGTCACAGTGTTCTTCTCAGGTAGATTTAAAGGTGTTCGTTTCCAGTTCAGTCCCCTTGGTTGGGGAGCTCGGGAAGGTATGCCAGTCTTCTCCCTAGCCTTCAGCTATTCTTCTCGCTCTGACTGGTCAGACGCGAATTCTTTCATTTGTCTGGGTCGTAGCCAGTACCTCTCAACTGGAAATCATGTGCGAAAATTACATTTATGTGAAGTCGGCTTCCCAGATTTGTTGCCCTAGGAGGTGTGGAAAGTGCAGATAAGGCTAATCTGTGTCTGAGTCTGGGGCCTTGGGGGATAATGTTACATTAGTTCCCTCCCAGGAGTTGCGGCTCTGGGCTAGCAGCTTTTGTCGTGAACAATGGCTGACCACAGGCCCTTTTTGGAGTTCCGTTGGCAGATATTCTTCCCATGATGCACCAGTTTATGTGGATTTTTTCCGCTTGCCCCTTCTGGTCTTCCTTAGGTTCCATCAGACATTTTCTGCATTAGCCTTTGCACTCCAGGAAGGAGCTCACGGCCCCGGGGGGCCGGTTCTGTTACGTCATCGGCACCCATGTTCCCACCACTTTCATTTTTGGTGCACTCGCTGTCAAAGGAAGGTCGGGTTAGGCTCAGGAGTAGCACACACGTGCCTTCCTGGTATCTTCATCTTACCAATCTGAAGTTTTATTCGTTATTAGCTAAAAATAAAGTTTTTATTAGTTTTAAGTATATGTCTGGAACCTTGTTAAACGTAATGACCTCTTGAACCAGCATCTTTGACTGCTTGGCATTTGTCCAGTATTCCTTAGATATCCTGAACACACGTACATATAGGACGTCTGTGTTGACCTCAGCTCATAATCTAAATACAGCGTTACTAGGTCATGATTGCCCGTGTGTCTTTGAAGAGCCTTCATTATTACTGTTATTTTTAAGGTGAAGTAGGGTAGCTTGGTTTAAAGAAGCCTTGAGACCTAGAAGATGAGCCAAGGGAGATAACTGATCTCCCATAAGGAGGCCTTCGCGTTCAACACTAAGCAGGGACTTGGGCTGAAGAATGTTGATCTTGCGCGCGCATGCACGCACGCGCGCGCGCGCACACACACACACACACACACACACACACACACACACCCGCCCCCCATCGCTTTCTAAGGTTATTGTGATGGCGTGTTAGCCAACGGGTTACATAAAAACATCGTCTGGGGGCTGTGGCTCTTCTGTATTCATTCATTTGGTTATTGCTGTAGTTGTGCCCAGTGCTGAGTAATTGGCATCTCCAGTGAGTAATTGCAGTGCTGGTGGGTAGCTCTAACAGGGAGCAGGGAGCATAGTGGGGCTGAGTGAGGAATGTCAGAGAGAGCTGGGGAAGGCTTCACAGACAAAGAGCTCTTCAGCCCCTTAGAGGTGAGGGAGGGATGTTCAGACCCAAGTCCAGCGTGGGAATGGAGAGACCTACGTATCTGGATTGTAGGTTGTGGTGAAGGACGTAAATGAGGCTGGAGAAATGGACTCGCCTGTTAACTGAAGTGTCCTCTAGATCCTGAGAGGCCGGTGTCTGTATTCTCTTCCAAAGGATTTTCCCCTTTTTTTGGTCTCAAAAGCAGTACATACTGGAAACTAGTGGGGGGAAAAAGTGAGGGGAAAAAAGAAACCACCCCAGAACGAAAGCTGAAGTTATTTAGGTGTCCAGTCTCCAAAATACCTGTTATTATAGTCTAACCATGGTGAAAAATGGACCTAGGTGATAGATACGTTGATGAAAAAATAAAATTATTAAAGATGAGTGAAAAGCGGCCTTGTTAGCCAGTCCCTCAGTTTTTGGAGTCTGCGTTTTTGGCCCGTTCGCTGCAGCGTGCGACTGGCCCTCCCTGCCTGGTGCCGAGCCGCTGGCTTCCTCGGGTTCCTGCACAGGATCAGGACTTACCCACCGACCCCGCTGGGAGGAGCCCTGCAGGTGAGGGCAGGAGGCGAGCGGGAAACACGCGGCTCGGACGCGGACAGTAGGCTTTCTCTTAGCACGCAGTGATGATCGGGCTTTTCTCAGCAACCGTGGATTGCTGTCTGGTGCTGAAATGATTTTTATACCTTCACGTGCTGCTTATAAATGTGTTGTTCCTCAGCACTGCGTATAGTTATTAAGTACATGGTTTCTATCAGATGTGTTTTTGAGCTGTAGGTTTTGACTAGTTGAAACTGATTTGGGATCTGTATTTTTCTTTCTTTCTTTTTTTTATTTAAAGAAAAGATTTCCTTAAAAATTTTTTTTAAAGTTTATTTATTTATTTAAATTTTTTTTTTTTAATTTATTTCTAGGAGAGAGAGAGACAGCGTGAACAGGGGAGGGTCAGAGAGAGAGAGGGAGTCACAGACTGATATAGGCTCCAGGCTCTGAGCTGGTAGCACAGAGCCCGACGCGGGGCCCGAACCCACGAACCGCGAGATCATGACCTAAGCGAAAGTCGGATGCTTAACCGACTAAGCCACCCAGGCGCCCCAGATGTTTGTTTATTTTTAAGAGAGAGAAAGAGACAGAGTGTGAGTGGGAAAGGGGCAGAGAGAGGGAGACACAGAATCCAAAGCAGGTTCCAGGCTCTGAGCTGTCAGCACAGAGCCCAACAATGCAAGACTTGAACTCACAAACCGTGAGATCATGACCTGAGCTGAAGTTGGATGCTTAACTGACTGAGCCACCCAGGTGCCTTTGTTTAGAATTACTTTATTGGCTACTATTTTCAAGTCCTTTGTCTGCACCTCTTTGGTCATGATTTCTACCATCTTTTCCCGAATGTGGTGGGCCTTTTGGTGCAGACCATAGTGGCTTTCCGCATCTGATTGTTGCATTGTTTTAGTAAAACCAGCACAAAATAGATGAAGCAAATACCCATCGGTAATCATGACATGGACATGAGCTTCAGTCCTGGTCAGCTGTGTTTTGACCATGGAGCACATTTTTTACAGGTTAAGATCCATGTCATGGAAATTAGGCAGTTTTTGCCCTGAACATTCTCAGTATTTAGCTTGACATTCGTAAATGCAGCTTCATCGTTCTGCGGATCAGCATCACTTGCTTCAAAAATATAGCCCTTGAGGCCACCAGATGTGATTCCTTGATTTCTCATGACCATTGTTTTTCCAGTATTTCTTATATTGAACATAGCTGGTGCTTTCACATCGTACGAGTCTTTCCTAGAAAATGGACCAACTGCTTTCTCCCTGGCTCCCTTTCTGTCACCTTTCACCAAGAACTTGCTGTACCGCCATCGTGCTGCCCAGGGATTCTTGTTTTGTTTTTTTTCTCCCCACTCCTTCCTCTTGATTATAGAGAGTTGACTATGGTTCCTTGTAGAATATTTTCTGCACATAAACTTTTCATACCACTTACAGTGTGTTGTATCTGCAGATTTGTAGCCAGCTTACTTTTACTTAATTAACATGGTATTACAAGGGTTTAGAATGTTGTATATTAGGAGCAAGCCCAGCCTCCCTGAGGAAGGTCCCTGATCATACCAGGTCATCAGTGACTCTGTGGTCACTTCGGAGCCTCTAGAACTGTGCATGTGGGAAAAAAAAGTTTGTTCGCAGATACATGTCTGCAGTCAGAGTGCCTGCCCTTAACAACTTTTGACTTGGGCTTACATTGAAAACCTGTGTTTGTTTTCTTTTAATATCTAGTTTCATGTTTTTCCCAGATGGGAGTAAAACAGGTCTTTTCTTTTGCCTTGATTTTAATTGCTTTGGAAAATGACTGCCCTTCCCCCACGTAACTTTTTATTTTAAAACCCAGACACGTGTTCCCATCTGATGCCATATTTCCTAAATACAGTAATAGACAGATTCTGGTGTATTTCTGATCCTCTATCAACAGCATCGTTGCATGTGCGGTATTTCTGTAAATGTGGTAGAGCAGCTTAATCATTCCTGTAAGGTTTAGCGTAAGAAAGGCTGCTGTTGAATGTTTTTGGCAGCATATACCATTTTCTAAATCTAAAATTATTTATTTAGGATAGATTCCTAGAAGTGGAATTAATTGGTTTTTGCAAGTGTGGATATTTTTATGGCTTTTGATACATAATGCCAGATTGCTTGCCATTTGTTCAAACGTCCGTCAAGTTTTCCACATTAGTCAGCAGGGTGTGAGAGGCCTAGAGAGGGAGTCCCCAGACAGGAGGACACTCGGGAGCCCCCCAAGAAGCCCAGGGGAGAGAGGAGAGCTCTGAACTCCACTGTAGGCAGGAGGAATAGAGGGGGACCAGGTGCCGAGAGGCCAGGAGCCACATACCTGGCACCCGGCTGATACAGGAGGATCCAAAGAGGAATTCAGGAGCTGGTGTGACACACGGGCTCCTGGCTTGGCCAGCTGGCAGGATGGCGCATTTGGCCATGATGCTGCTGTACTGGCCAGCCCCCCCAGGGGATGCAGGAGGGCGATGCCTCCTCCTCTTGAAGACCTTGGCCGTGTCTAATGGGTGGGGCTGGGAAGGCTGCTTCCTTGGCTGACCACTGGCCTGTACTGGCATGTGGCCAGGTCCTTGGAATGTTGCGACTGTCTGCTTATTGTCTGGCCTGGAGCCTGATGGAAAGCCCTTGGGGCTGTGAGGAAGTAAGTGCATGTGCATCCCCATGTGAGGCTGCCACCAAAGACCATCGTCAGCCTGGCCTTCTAATTACAGAGTTTTTAAGTGGCTGTGGGATGCCTGGGGGCTTGGAGGTGGCCCACCAGGGGTCAGCAGGACTAAGGCCCTGTGTCTGTACGGCCGTGGGATGCCTGGGGGCCTGGAGGAGGCCCTCCAGGGGTTAGTGTCTGTACGGCCGGGAGGCAGGTTGGTGCTGAGCAGCAGGCTTTGCAAAGAGCTGCAGTTCTGGTGAAGTCCAGGAAGGTGGGAGTGGCAGCTGGATGTGGAAGGGAAAGAGCTGCCGCCACGTGAGGGCTGTATGTTCCCTTGCGCTCGCATCTGTCCCTCCCCGCACCCCTGCATGCCCCAGTGACCCAGCCTCCCCCTGGCGGCCGGCGCTCTGATCAGTCACCTTCTTGCTGATTTTAACAGCGGCACATGCGTGGGCAAAAGGGGAGTCCAGGCTCCCAGGGGAAGGCGAGTGGGGGGTATGGCTCCTGATGCCACTCTTCTAGTCCCATCCCCGTCGTGCAAAGAATTGAGAATGAGGCTTCCTGGCAGTGAGACCCATGTTCACGGAGAGCAGAAGAAATGGAGTGTGTGGCAGGCCCCGACCCCACAGGCTGCCGGGCGGGGAGAGTGCGGCGAGGGTCTCTCACACTCACTAGGGGTGTGAGAACACGGTGGGTTTTGAAGGGCAGTGAGGTCAGTGTCCTGACCTGTCTGTGCCCTGCCGTGACCGGAACTGTCTCGGCCTTCCCGTTGCCTTGCTGGGGAGTGAGTGTCAGGGCTCGATTACGTTCTGACTTGCCGTGGGTTTCTGGAACCCGGTGGGCAGAGCAGAAAAGGCGTGGAAGGGGGTGTGGGGCCGAGGCCACCCCACATCCTCCCCTGCTTTCCTGGCCGCTCTGTCCTGCTCTGTCCTTACAGCGTCTGTCGCCTCTGCTGGGGCTGCTGGCAGTTGCCGAGGGAGCCTCCCTAACTGCCCTCGCCCTCTCCAGGACCACCTGCTTTTCTCACTTGCCTCCCCCGGTCACGGGGTTCGGTGTCCCTCCCCCCCCCCCCCCTCGCTGGCACCCTGTGGCCACAGCAGGGCTGGGCAGCCAGACCCCACGTGCTGCCCCCCACTCCCTGCCGGCAGTGGATCTGACCAAGCCCTTAGATCTAATGAACCTGTAACTCAACAGGAAATACAGGAGCTAGAAGAACAGCAGTAATTGACTCCAGGAAGAAACCAGACAAACCCAGAATTTGGGGGCCTGTTTCTGCCTCCAGACAGTGGCACTGGGGGTGGGGCAGGGGTGAGACTGTCGCACATTAAAAGAGCCTTAGGTGACCTACTGGCCGATCGCAAGTATGGGCTCTCCTGATTCCAAGAAGCCCGCTGTAACCGTACTTTTTACAAATTGAGGAAATTTAACTACCACGGCATATTAAATTATTGTTCAGTTTTTAAAGTTTGCTTATTTATTTTGAGAGTATGCACAGGGGAGCAGAAGAGAGCAGAGAGAGGATCCCAAGGACACTCCATGCTGTCAGCACACAGCCCAACATGGGGCTCGAACTCACCAACAGTGAGATCGTGCATTGAGCTGAAGCCAAGAGTCAGATGCTTAAGCAACTGAGCCACCCAGGCGCCCCAAATTATCGTGAATTTTAAAATTCTTGCTAATTTTAGGAATTGATAGATAGTAAAAATATCCTTGCAGGCTGAAGCGCTCAGGGTCAATGTCACGATGTCTGTGATTTACTTTAAAATGTGCTGTGGCGAAAAATAGACAAAGCCCATGTGGCAGATTGTTAACTAGTAACTTCATGTGATGAGTGTGTGGGGTGCATCTCCACTTGTGTGTGCACCTGACCATTCTCAGATTAAGTTCTAGGCGCTGCGTGAGGCACCTTGCTCAGCCACCTGGTATTCGTCCCATTTTAGATGAGACAACTAGGCTCACAGGTTAGGTATTTTCTCCAATGTCTTAGGACTTCGGGTGTAGATCTGGCATTTAAACCCGAGTCCCTGGGACCCGTGTGCCTGCCCCAGCCTCACAGCTGTGCTTAGTTGTAAGCTGGCTTGAGGGCGTGAGTCGGAGAACCCTCCACACCCCCGGTGTGCCCTCTGTTCACTTCTCCTTACCCAGCCTACAACCCCTGGGACCTCAGGTAACACGGAGTGTCTTGTACTCCCGGCGGTAAATGGAGAACGAATAGTTGTAAAAGCCGCCTTCAGTGCAGGGCCAGATGTGCTGTGTGTTAAATTTTCTCTTGTGTGTCGCCTGTTTTGAAATTATTCGAAAGCCTTTTTTGTGTTCACTCAAAAATAGTGATCTTCTTCAAAATCTTAGAAGTATGTTGAGATGTGGGTTTTTTCCCCCCTTAAGAAATAGATTTATTTGCATTTATTCACTTCATGGCATCCCTAAAGATGCTTTGTCGTTGCAGGCAGACATCTGGTCCCTGGGCATAACGGCCATCGAGCTCGCAAAAGGGGAGCCCCCTCACTCTGAGCTGCATCCCATGAAGGTTTTATTCCTCATCCCAAAGAACAACCCCCCCACGCTGGAAGGCAGCTACAGCAAAGCCCTCAAGGAGTTCGTGGAAGCCTGTTTGAACAAGGAGCCAAGCTTTGTGAGTTGCGTGGGCTCTGGATGGCGTCCCTTCCTGTGCGGCTGCAAGTGGCCTAGGGACCGAGAGTCGTCTTCCGGAATTTCTGTCATCGCTCTCGTCCTGGTTGTCCGTTGTCTTCGTTGCCATTGTCTTCACGATCTCGTTTACTTTTTTTTTTAATTTCTTAACATTTATTTATTTTTGAGAGCGAGAGAGGAAGAGCACAAGCAGGGGAGGTGGGGGGAGAGAGGGAGACGCAGAATCGGAAGCAGGCTCCAGGCTTTGAGCTGTCAGCACAGAGCCTGATACGGGGCTCGAACTCACAAACCGTGAGATCATGATCTGAGCCGAAGTCGGACGCTCAACCGACTGAGCCACCCAGGCAGGGGCCCCAGGTTTAGTTTTTTCCTAAATGGCTTTGATCTATTTGAGTTGCAAATGGTTTTATTGTTTATCTTGCAGGAAACAGAAATTTGCTTATTTCCTTTCAGATTGTAAGTAGCATCTCCTACCTCATTGAGCCCGAAGACTGTTCTCCTTAAGATTCTATGTGGAATCGTAAATTTTTAATATTTATAGTGAAAGGTCAGGCTATTTTTAGCCGTTTTTAGTAATTGCAGAGTCTGGCCAGGAAAATAATGGCTACATGTGTCTTTAAAGTAGATGTTTTCAGTTTCTTCTTGGCATGTGTTAGGAAAGAAAAGGCAAATAAAAAATAGAAATGGATCACCACCTTGCCCTGATACCCCTTCCTTTTTACTTTTTTTTTTTTGTGGGTAACTGGCAGAGGCATGTGGCAGTAACCCTGTACAGTTTTCTTTTTTTTAATTTTGTAATGTTTTTTTTTTTTTTTTTAAATTTATTTTTGAGCGAGAGATAGAGACAGCATGAGCAGGGGAGGGTCAGAGAGAGAGGGAGACACAGAATCTGAAGCAGCCTCTAGGCTCTGAGTTGTCAGCACAGAACCCGACGTGGGGCTCGAACCCACGAACCGTGAGATCATGACCTGAGCCAGTCAGATGCTTAACCGACTGAGCCACCCAGAGGCCCCAACCCTGTACAGTTTTAGCCGAATTTTCTCTCAACTGGGATATATCCTTGAAAGTTACCTTTGTAGCTCGGTGTTGCATATAGCACCATATGTCCTTGATTTGTTTCTGAATTTTCTAGCAGCATTGACTGGAGGCCAAGCTGAAACCCTTTTTTTATGAACTCCTATCTAAAAAGGGGTGGTTGGGGCGCCTGGGTGGCTTAGTTGGTTAAGCGTCCGACTTTCACTTAGGTCATGATCTCGCGGTTCGTGGGTTCGAGCCCCGCGTCGGGCTCTGTGCTGACTGCCAGCTCAGAGCCTGGAGCCTATTTCAGAGTCTGTATCTCCCTCTCTCTCTGACCCTCCCCTGCTCACGCTGTCTCTCTCTCTCAAAAAAAAAAAAAAAGGGGGGGGGTGATTAATGTTACAAGAGCACCACGGCTTTCTACTAAGCCAGCCTTGTAAAGGGATGAGGTGTGGAACGCAGCATTTTCTGCGAACCTCTGGGAGTGCAGCCTGAGATTGTGCAAATCAGCATTTTATGAAAGCAGCAGGCGTCAGGTGTGTGGACTGGGCCTCTCCCTGTCCACGCCGCTCTGAACATGCAGTCATGCTATGAGCCCCCCTGCCACGGTGAGCAGCAGTTAGGAGGTACACGCACAGTGTGTACACATCTTCCCATCCCCAGTTGATTTCTAGCATCGGCATACTCGCCCAGTGTACACGTCTCCACCCCTACCTGCACCCCACGCACACGGAGGGAAGGGAGAAGCTGAGCATTTGAGCACTTTTGGCACACATGGAGTTTCACAGTCATGTGGACAGGGAGGGAGACGTGGCCTGAGGTGACCCAGGTTTTCTGTAAGCTTGAATTTGAGACACAGGCCCGGCTCTCAGGAATAAAGGTTTAGTAACTCGGAGTAAGCGGGAACTTAGGCTTCCTGGTGGTGTCTGTGTGTTCTTGCTGTTTGCTCCGGTTTGGGCTAACTCATTTGTCCTTGGGAAGTGTGCTCCCTGCAGTCGGGTTTGCCATCCTCTAAAGAAGTTGCCGGGTTCGAAGTATGCTGTGTGACTCTGGCCAGGCTGAGCCCAGGCCCTGGGTGAGGGCTTCACCCCAATCCCACGGGAAGAGACAGACGAAGGAAACCAGCGTTTCTGAACTGGGGACGCTGAATTGAGCAAGAGGGTTCCAAGAGGGGCAGAAGCAGAACACGGGAGCCTCATCTCACTCTCCCTCTGTTTTGTCGGGTGGTTTGTTTCCCAGAGACCCACGGCTAAGGAGTTGCTGAAGCACAAGTTTATAATACGCAACTCAAAGAAGACCTCCTATCTGACCGAGCTCATCGACAGGTACAAGCGGTGGCGGGCCGAGCAGAGCCATGAAGACTCGGGCTCCGAAGACTCAGACACGTGAGTCGGCTCCTCCTGGGTCGCGGGGTGCGCGTGGGCGGTGGGGGTGGGGTGCCTGTGAGCCCTGTGCACTCGTCACTGACGTGTGCGTGTTCTGGTCTCTCGTTTGAGTATGTGTGTGTGGGGGTTGTTACTTCATTTGTGAATTTGATTTGTTTTTAGATAATCCGGGTTGATGGGGATTCTTGTGTTCGTACAGGACAGTTTGGGAGCCTTTAGCCTCTTTGTTGTCAGTAGGGCGTCTTTCCGGGAAAAATCTGTGGTGGTTGTGTTGCTCATTAAGGACTAGAACTGGACTCCTTTTCTTTTTCCTCCTCTTAAAAGTATTAATCAGACTGCCTTAAAACTATTTTTAAAAAGATACACGTGTACGTTTTTACAGTTCTGTGTCGTGTTACAGTAGATGCTTGGGCTATAAAAGCTCCGTGGTGAGGGTTAGTTACTGAAAACTGGCATGACGTTAAGCCCTTTGGAATTCTGGTAGCTGAACCTGGCTGAGTTGTCGCAGCCGCTTCGGTGTCTGGGTGTCGGGGAAGCTAGACCACCTGCTCTGACGTGAACGTAGGGGACGTGAGGACAGTGTCCTGGATACAGGCGTCCAGCCCGTAGCACCTGGTCTGTTCTCCTTCACACCTCAGCCAGACACCCAAGTTCACCACCAGTCCCGGTCCACACGCCAGGCCGGTTGAATCAGAATTTCTAAGGGCAGGGACCCAGGTGTTTTCAGGGTCCCCAGGTGATTCCGTTGTAAAGCCGAGAGTGAGAGCCACGGTGTCTGGAAGCTGTGAGAACGTTGAGAGCTTAGCCGGGTAGCGATGGGGGTGAGAAGATGGACAGGCAGTCTGAACGTGACCCTGGACGTGAGTGAAGGGAGGAGAGACCGTCCAGGCTTCAGCAGCGTGGTGGGTGCCATTGAGACAACGCAGGGGAAGCCGCCAGTCTGGTGGGGGGAGGAGGCCAGGGTACAGGAAGCTGAATTTGGTGTGGGGCACGTGTGAGTTGCTGACAAGATACTGGGAGGATGTGTCCTGTGTGGAATGGCATCGCGGCTTAGGATTCAGGAGGCATGGGGGGGGGCGGGGGGGTCATGGATTTCAAGTCTTCACTCCATAAATGGTCATGGGGGCCATGAGAATGACCATGAGAGTGGAGGTGTCTCCCACATTGCAGCTGCCGAGTGCGAAGCGCTGGAGGCCTAGAGCTGCGTGCTGGGAAGCACCTAGCCTGGGACCCTGTGGATAACCTGGGTCAGGGGAGATCTGGGTGCAGAGACCCTGGAGGGGAAGAGTGGCGAGCAGGGACATTGAGGCTCAGGGCTCAAGCAGGTGAAGGACTGAGCAGTACCCCCTTGTCCAGTGGTGTGCCTGCTGGGGACCAGTGGCCTTGAGTGTCAGTGCAGGGATAGGCTTGGTTCTGGCCTGAGTGGAAGGTAAGACACGGGAGGCAGTGAGTGTAGGTAACACATCCAAGAAGTGAGGCTGAGTCATGGCCGTAGCTCTAGGGGCCACAGGGCCGCATGATAGGATGTTCATGGGAAGGAGACCAAGGGGAGAAAGGTGACCTCTGAGAGAGGGGCTGTCCGTGGAGCAGAGGATTGTCCCGCAGAGGAGATGTCTCTGTCCCTTTCGGGAGGTGGGATGGAGGGTGTGGGTGCGGCCAGCACTGTGGGAAGTTACAGGGGCCTCATTCTGACGGCCTTTCCTTTCTCTGAGTCAGAAGGCAGGGTCCTCCTCTGAAAACCCACGGGGCCAGGGGAGTGTGGTGGTGGAGAGTGGAGATGGGAGGTAGGAGTGGAGCCTGGGGGGTGGCTGGGCAGTGGTTCTCCTCGGGGACAGGGTCTCCTCGCTCACTCACAGACTTCACCTGGATTTCTCTACAAAGGGAAACGGATACCGACAGCCAGGCATCTGGAGGCAGCGACTCTGGGGACTGGATCTTCACGATTCGAGAGAAGGATCCAAAGAGTCTCGAGAACGGAGCCCTGCAGCCTTCGGACTTAGAAAGGAATAAGGTAATGTTGGCTCGTACTATGTAGATGGACACCTGTCATCACCAGTCACTGGTGGTCCCGAGTCCCTTTTGTGTGGGGCCTGCTCCTTACTGGGCAGGCTCTTGTGGAATTTTGCTGCCCCTGAATTGATGGGAGATAAGAGATTATGTTGTCTGGTGTCCTAGAATTTCATTCCTATGTGGAATTCAAGAAACACGGCAGATGAACATAGGGAAAGGGAAGGAAAAATAAGATAAAAACCGCGAGGGAGGCGAGCAGTTAGACGCTCTTAAATACAGAGAACAAGCTGAGGGTTGCTGGAGGGGACGTGGGTGGAGGGTGGGCTGAGTGGGCGACGGGCATTGAGGAGGGCACTTGTTAGGATGAGCACTGGGTGTCATATGTAAGTGATGAATCACTGAGTTCTACTCCTGAAGCCAAGACTACGCTGTATGTTAACTAACTTAAATTTAAGTTTAAAAAAGGAAGAAAAAAGATTTTGTTGTTTGAGGACCCAGAGAGTCAGACCCGAGAATCTGGCCTCAGGTCTGCTCTGCAGAGGCTGGCGTCTCCCTGCCCCACCCCCACCCCCGGTCCATCGCCGTGGAGTCGGTGTTTCCTGATGCTTGCACATTCGCAGGGGTCGGGGTGTTGCTTTGTGCATTGGGGTTACTCATAAATCCCAGAATTTTGGGATTAAGTTTTTAAGATCTTAAAAACAAATGCAGTGCTTTTGGTACACCTGTAAAACCTTAGTTTAATTAATTGGTTTTGTGTCTATTTAAGTTTATGAAAACCTGTATTTTAAAAATCTTTTTAAAGCATCATGGCGCCGTTGCTCTCCCGGCAGTGTGGGCCAGTGGCCTCCCCGTGTTGGGCCTATGAGACTGGCTTTGATAAGCAGATAGGAGTCATTATAGAGGTTGCAAAAGTGGAGAATAGGCCGCTGGGCCGCGACAGTCACTTGTGCTAACAGTCACTTCGGTTCCGGTTTTCGTAGTAAGTCCCACTCCACAGATGGCACGGAGTTCCAATACAGGTGCCCCTCCCGGGACCCGTGGGCCTTTCCCCCCTGGATCCGGACCCTGGCTCCCCAGCTGCAAACGAAACCTTGTGGTCTAGTGAGAGACAGCAGGACAGGCCCATTCGGGCATCAGCGCAGATGGTGTTTCAGAGTTGACGCGCGGCGTGTCTGAGATCTGCTCAGGTGTCGCGGTGTGAATGTTACTGATGACCTTTTCTTTCTTCCCTAAGGTGAAAGACATCCCAAAGAGGCCTTTCTCTCAGTGTTTGTCTACAATTATTTCTCCACTGTTTGCAGAGGTAAGATCCCCAGTTGACTTCTGGGGGGACGTGGCTGGGGAAGGCGTGGGGAGGGGCGTCTCTTTCTGTGACACGTTGCCGGGAGCATCCGAGAGGTTGGAAGAAGCTGCCACAAGCAGGAGGGGAGTCCTCACTGTGGCCCCTCTTGGGACGTGTCACTGGGACGTCACCCCGGGTGCTCTGGGCCAGCCCAAGTCCCTGTGTGACCAGGGCGATTTTCAGCCTCAGTCATCCTGCCTTCTACAAAATTGCTTGGCTGCAGCCTGATGGCTCTGTCGCAGACACGTGTGGCGATGTAAAAAGTAGAATTTTATTTTAAAGGAGAAACCAGATTCCCCGGTGACTTCAGCTGTCCCTGGGTGACCCGTATTTCACTGGCAGTATTCACATACTTAGCAGGCAGCCGGTATTCGCGATGACCAGCCCCTGTCCCTCCCTCATTGTGCGACCGACTTCAGCCATGTGCTGGTTCCCCGGTCCCGCCCAGCGGAGCCCCCCACCTCCACCCCCGTCTCTGGTTGGTACCTATATGTATACGGCATTTTGAGATGTTCTCAACCACACGTTTTGAGACTGAGGATTATTCTACCATCTGTTTAGTAGGTGATTTGGAAATCAAGTTGGAGATGCCCCTTCTGTCTTTTTTTTTTTTTTTTGTAGCCCCCCCCCCCCCCCCCTCCACGCTCAGGGTACATTTAAGATAATTCAGAGCGAGTCACACCCTAGTGCCTTCTGTTCGGTGGGTGATTCAGAGCTCTCCAGGGGAAGCCCCCATGCACACAGGCTCCCCTCCCCGCTTACTCCACTTGGCCCGAACCTCAGTCACACAGCGCCTTTGTCGCCCCCACCCCCACCCCCGTGTCTGTGCAGCTCCGTCCAGCCCCCAGCCCTACCCCTGCCCAGGGTCTGCCCTGCGAGCTTGCCTGAGGGCCCTGCCGGAGCCTGGGGTGTGGAGTTGAAACCACCGAACGCTCGGGGTTCTGACGGACAGCTAAACGACACGGGGCAGGTGGAGGCCCCTCTGTGTCCCTCTCTGGCTCTTGGCCTGGCGGATTGTTCTGGGCGCCTGCGCTCTCCCTCTCCTGTCTGTAAGGCACCCTCTTGCTCATTTTTGTGTTGTTGGGAGAGTTCAGGCTTTCTGGCTGTTCCTGGCCCCCCTTGGAGGCCCCGTCGGTGCCCCACCTGCTCAGGCAGGCAGCTTGGGAAAGTGGCACAGGTACTTCCTGCTTGTCGGAAGCCGGGTATTTTTCGTGGGACGTGTGAAGAAACTTCTGAAATCATTATTTGGAATTAATGAATTAATCCTAAATGGAATACTGCTTTGATTTTGATGCCCCCCCCCCCCCCCGCTAGCCTGGAGGTAAAGTCACAGGTGTCTCTTTTTATCAGTAGTACTTGATAACCGTATGTTGGAAGTGTTCAGTGTGTACCACTTTACGGAACACTCCCCAAACTCGTTCTCCCCGTGTCTGCGCGTGTGCGTCTTCCGGACACCGGTGTGTGCAGGTGGCCCACTCCGGGCGGGGGCGATCGAGCCAGGGAGGACAGCCGTTGTAGGAAACGGGGGAAGGCAGAGGCCGTGCACTCAGGACTTAGAAATTTACTGTTCTCTGTAGTCGTTCAGTGATGGGCGGTCCTAGATGGACACAGGCGGCCACCTCCGGGTGCACGGTCTGTGTCCAGGAGGAGTCCGGAGGGCGAACCCTGGCCCACAGTCCCTCCAGCGCCATGCCTTCCGGTTCCCCCGAGTGACCCTTCAGCCCGGGGGGAGGGGGCCGCACGGTCAGGATGGGGCTGATGCCAGGAGTGACGTGTTTTAGCAGCTTGAAAAGCCAAAACTAAAAGTGAATGGTTTCCTAAGGTGAAATTGAGGAGAGGCTCCTGTTTGGAGAGGCTTAGCCGTGTGTCTGCTGCCTGTGGACGGAACAGCTTTCCTTGTCACGGGGCAGGCCTTGGTGGCATCCATTCCAGAGAGGGACTTAAGAGTCCTCAGCTTCATGTGAGGCTGTGCTGAGGACACCACTGTGATTTCTTGTGGGGGCGGAGGGGCCGAGAGGGACACCAGTGTCCCAGAACTTAGGGGTGCCACTTGGTTGCACGAAGGCGAATATTTTGACAGCCGCTGGGACCAGAAAGGCCATCTGTTGGAGCCTTCAGAGGCAGCCCGTTCCCACTGGGAGCTAGGCCAGGGTGCAGGCCGCAGCTGCCTTGTGGGACCCGAGCGGAGCCGGCAACTGCGTTTCTGATAAGAGATTAGGGCTGAAGTGGGAAGAGCAGAGGGGACGGGGCCGCGATCAGATGTGGCAAAGGTGCCCGGGAGGCCGGCTGTCTCTGTTCTTCCCTAGCGAGGTAGTGACTTAGGTCTGACTCCGCCCTCCTGTACAGAGTGCTGTCAGGGAGCTGTTCCTGGGAAGCAATCGTGGCGGGCGGCTGTCTGGGCTCGTGGTGTGTCACCCGTACCGGGAGGCGCTCGCGGTCCCTGTGCCCGCATGGGTCATGCTCTTCGTGTTCGTTTGTTCCCAGTTGAAGGAGAAGAGCCAGTCATGCGGCGGGAACACGGGGCCCATAGAGGAACTGCGTGGCGCCATCTACCTGGCGGAAGAGGCCTGCCCCGGGATCTCGGACACCATGGTGGCCCAGCTCGTCCAGCGGCTGCAGAGGTAACTGTGTCCAGGCAGGAGGGCCCTGCTGAGTCTGCCTGTGGCGCACTCAGCCCTCCCAGGGGACTGCTTGTCAGTCCTCTGTCCGGGTGGCACTTGGTCCCCAGTTGGTTGCTGTTAGCTTCCTGGCCACACAGTTGAAGCAGAATCAAATTCCAGAAAGTTCTGAGTTCTAGAAATCAGTCCTGTGAAAGAATAATAGGAATCTGGAAACCACTGGGAAGGACCACAGACATTGTGAGGTGGTAGCTGTTACCTGTAAATGCCCAGTGCCTTTAAAAGGCACCCCCTTGCCCAGCCATCTGTTACTAGTGAGGCAGCCTGACCTCCTCCGCCGGAGAGGCGTGCTCCTTAACCACGTGTTTGGTTTTCTGCGTTCAGAGTCAGGGCCACAGTGCCACAAGTTGGGGCTCCATGAGTTAGGACGTGGGTGTGTTCGCTTCCTCGGGTGCCTAGGCCACCTCTCCCCTCCCCCTCGTGCCTGGGAGCCCTGCTGAGTGGGTGGTGTGCCCTGCCCTGCCTGTGGCTTAGGGGTGGGGGTGAGGGGGATGGCCTGGGCTTCCCCACCCGCTCTCAGACTTCTGTTAGGGTCGTCCTTGCGGAGGTCACTCCGACCTCCCCCCATGGAGGGGCAGTCATTTGGGGTTGTTGGAGAGAGTGGAGGTGTGCTGTGACCCAGACTCTGCTCTGCACCCCCAAACCTTCACCACCCCCAAAAAGCCAACCATGTCATTGCTTTGAAATTCACCTTCCTTGGGGCCCCTGGGTGCCTCAGTCGCTTAAGTATCTGACTTTGGCTCAGGTCATGATCTCACAGCTTGTGGGTTTGAGCCCCGTGTTAGGCTTTGTGCTGTCTGTACAGGCCCGATTTGGATCATCTGTCTCCCTCTCCCTCCCTCCCTCTCTCTTCCCTCTTTCTCTGCCTCCCTTCCGAGTAATTTCTTTACCTCCCTCCCTCCCTCCGTCTCTCTGTCTCTCAAAAATAGACATTTAAAAATTTTTTTAAAAAAACACACACAACAAAAAAACACCACCTTCCAGGTGAATTGTGAATTGTCCAGACTCCTGAGCCCCTTCCAGGGCGTGGCCGGGCCTTGGTGAGAGTGAGGAGCATTTCAGCTCTTTCCAGAGAGGCTGCCTTGACAACACGTGAAGATGTTGGGGGCCTGTTGGGTACCTTTTGCCACTTGGAAGTAACGGTTGAAGGGGCTGCCCCCCGGCCGGTGCCGAGCCCTGGCGAAGGGGGACGTGGGGGCCCGGCCTCATTCCTCCCGGCAGGCTTGTTCCCCGGCCGCAGGCTCTGGGGTCGAAGGTGTCCGGCCTTCCCAGCGCGGGCCCCAGTGCCGGTGGACAACCAGGCCTGTTCACTTGGCCACCTTGTCGTTTGAGGCATTGGAAGGACTCAGTGACATTTGCGGTGTGCCCCCTCCCTGCTGGTGACGGGAACAAAGTACAGGCCTCAGGGAGGAGAGAGCTGCAGTGCGCATGCAGTGACGGCCACACAGCTTGTGAGGGGACCCGCTGACTGTCCCATCCATGAGATGGCCTTCCTCTGCTGCCCCCTGCTCCTTAATAATAGCTTAATAATGGCCCACTTTCCTCCTTTCTCACAGCAGCTCGCGCTCCATTCACTCCTCATTCTGGTCGCATTTCATTCCTGTTAAAAGGAACTGGGAAACCACACAGAACTCAGCCAGGAGCTGCTGGTTCTGTGCTTGGATTCGGTTTGTTTCTCTGCTTTCCCGGTGTCACCTTTAGGACTGTTTTCCACGTTGCCCCGAACCGTCTGAGATGCGCATACGTGACCCGATTTCCCCGAGGCGCCAGGGCACAGGTGGTGTGGCCTGTGCGTTTTTGTTGATCCCTGCTCCCCCCCCCCCCCCCCCCCCCCCCCCCCCCCCCCCCCCCCCCCCCCCCCCCCCCCCCCCCCCCCCCCCCCCCCCCCCCATGGGCCCGTGCTCTGTACCCGTGCCCTCCAGGAGACCGAGTGAGCCACATACGCAGCTTGCGGTTTCCTAGTAACTTCACGAGAAACCGGTAAAAGTGGAACAAGGAAAATTAGTTGTAATAATAGATTTTTTAACCCACCGCTTCCCACCCGTTTTTCCTCGACACGTGGCCAGCGCGAACTGTTACCGGTCAGGCATTTCGAGTTTGCTTTTCCCCAGGTCTCTGCGGTCTGGTGTGTTTGACACTGGACGGCACGTCTCGGCAGCCGCTGGTGCGAGTGCTGAGCGTGTAGAATTCACACGTGACTGCCGCTGTCCATGCCGTGTTTAAATTTGTGCTCGCCAGTGATGTGTTGCAAACACTGAGTCCACATTCTTTCTTCTTGTCTCCAGACCAGTCTTGTTTTCCTTTCCTTTGTGATGTGCAGACACCCTCCTTCTGCAGCCAGCAGGGGACCCTGCTCCGAGGGGTCCTTAGCGGGTCCCCACAGGCTTATTAGTGGGTACCGTCCGTTCTCTCCTCTGAGGGTCCCCGAGCTCTTCCTGTGTGTCCCCCACCCAGGTGCCCCCACGCCACAGTGGCCTCTGCCCCCACCTTGTTCCCGTTTAGCTCCATAAAGGCGGGGCCTCAGCGGACCGCCTGAGAAGAAAAAAACGATGTTCGTCTAAAGCATTTCGAAGACTTCTTTGTTCATTTGAATTGATGTGTGCGTCCTGTTGCGTAGCGTCAACTCCTTCTGTGGCTTTGGCATGTGTATTTCTTGGGAGATGAGTTTGAGGATCTGTGGCTGAAGCCTGCTTTTTAAGAGGATCTTGTGTGATCGGCTACAGTAAGCCGAGTAGCTTAACTGCCTTACGAGTGGGGCCACAGGTTGGAATGTTGGACGTTACCTCCACTAACACGTCCTCAGCCCTCTCCTGTGACTTGGGGTCAGTTTTGAGGTGGCCATAAGAGGAAACACCTCCCCCTTGTTTTTTGTATTCTAGAGCAAGATAACACTGCAGAATTATCAGAAACTGGAAGAAAGTGCCCATAACCCCACCAGCACTGTCCAGTTAGCATTATCATCAGTTTCGGTTCATTGGCTTCCATTGTTCTATACAAATCATAGATTTATCCATTTCTTTACATGTCTCCAAACTTGTGCACTTACCAGTTTTTGATATTCTGTAGTGTTTGCAATAAACTGTGCACGTGAAACTATGTGTACTGCCTATAAAATTTTATGTACACATTAATTTGTATTTTCGTGTTAAATATAATTAGTTTTTTTTAGTTAAGGCTTTTTTAATGTTTAATTTTGAGAGAGAGAGAGAATATGTGTGTGTGTGAGCAGGGGAGGGGCAGAGAGGGAGGGAGACACAGAATCCAAAGCAGGCTCCAGGCTCTGGGCTGTCAGAGTCTGACATGGGGCCCGAACCCATGAACCATGAGCGAGATAATGACTTGAGCCGAAGTTGGATGCTTAACTGACTGAGCCACCCAGGCGCCCCTGTAATTACAGTTTTTAATCTGTGTAAAAAATGGCTTGGTTGACCTAACCGTTTCTCTGCCATTGGACGTCAGAGTTGTTCCCTAAGTATTACCGTTACAAGAAAGTCTGAGAGGCATCTCTGTGCAAAATGCGTGGCTCTTTCGGATCACGTTTCTCACACAGCCTAGGGAGTTGATACCTTGAACGAGCATCAGTGTATTTGTGGCCACGGGGTTTCCTGTGCCGCCACCTAAGCCAGCCATGTGTACGTGTCCCTGGAATCTTACCATGTCTTCGGGCATTACTGATTCTGTAATTTTTAAAAATGGACTCTAAGCAAAGCCGTGCCATTTATTGTTCTGTTCGTCTCTTCTTTCCCGGAGAGACTGAACGGCTCTCACTTATGTTCCATTGTTTTCAGCCCTTCTGCGGACTGAATTTTACCTGTGGAAAGTTGTGTAGAAATCAGTTTCCTTAATTTCTAGGAAATTCTCTGGATGATGAATCACCTGCTCATACCTGCTCTGCTTAATTTTTTTTATGACTTGGGGGTGGTTTGAAGTTTTGCATGGAGGTTACAGAAATGACATTCACTTCTGTTTGTCTCTTTTTTCCCCTCCAGATATTCTCTAAGTGGTGGAGGAAGCTCATCCCACTGAAATTCCTTTGGCATTTGGGGTTTTGTTTTTCTTTTTTCTTCGTCGTCGTCGTCCTCGTACAAAGTCAACGAGAGCCTTTGCCGACCCGGCCATGGCAGTGTGTCACCCGGGGGCCGCCCTCCCCTGCCCGGGCCACACGCCTCGGGTCCCTGCCGGCCTCCGCCACACGAAGCCTCCGCCACGTGAAGCCTCCGGGTGGGGTGGGTCGCTCGGCTCCTTCAAGCAATCATCCGATTTTACTGTTCTTGTTTTTAATTTTAGCCAGTGTGCACATATCAAGGAAAGTGTCTTTAGAAACAAAAACAGACCCTGAAATGTCTGTGTGGGATCACGACAAGGCCACATACGAAATGAAACCTCAGGTATCTTGCTTTAAGTTGCTCACTCCCCTCGGCGGGAGCCGGAGAAGCCTCTGGTGGGTCAGTGTACAGATCTGTATATAGCGTCCTTTTTACGGAAACCCTCTGGCGAGCGTCAGGAATCACTGTGTACAAACGGGCCGAGTGCTTCTGTAGATAATGTCAGTGGAGTAAATATTTGACCGGCCGTAACCCGAGTCTTTTGCCTTGCCTTTATTACATGTAAATTTTGACTTCCGTGACCAGTGATTTGGGTTTTATTTTGTATCTGCAGGGTTTGCCATTAATAATAATAAACGCGCCTCCTGCGAACACTCCTCTTTGTCCCCCCGCACAGGCCCAGCCCCTCGCGTGTGCCCGCCGGCCCGCCCGGTGCCCGGAGAGGTCGGTTTCCTTTCCTTCGATGGTACTATTTCTTAGTGTTTTAAATCGGAACATATCTTGCCTCATGAAGCTTTAATGATTTTAAGTTGCTCCCCGACGACGTCGCGCTCGTCTGTTAGAACATTTGTTGGAACTTGTGCCGCTGCCAAGCCCGCGCCCGCCGCGCCGCCCTCCCGACGCTCCCGGCAGTGAGCGCGGCGCGCCCGCCCCCGTGTCCCCGTGCTTACACCAATAAATTTTATAACGCACCGTTGTGCAGTGTGACTCTTGAGACGTGACTTCAGAGGGCAGCGCACCTGCGGGGGGCGGGGGTGCGGGCAGGGGAGACGTTTCCGCCGCTCCCGGAAGAGGGGCCCAGGCCGGACCTGCCGCGCCGCCAGGTCGCTCCCTCTGCCCTTTCGGAAGAGGCGGGTCGTTGAGACGGAGCTGCCTGTCGCCCACCTGCAAAGTCGCGGTGTCTCCCCGGGGACCTTGATCAGGGGCGGTTTCCGGGCCTGCTCTTCCTCAGCCACACGGGCCGTGGTGGTCTCGGCTCGCGCAGCACCTGGCCTTGCCCAGGGGGCTTCGCCTCGGCGTGTGGGGAGGGCGCGGGGCCCCTCGCCCCTGCGGAGCTGTTCCGTGTCTGTTGACGCAAGTCGTCGTCCTCCCGCCGCGCAGCAGCTCCGGGAGGGAGGGCGCAGGAGCTTGGGAGCAGGGGAAGGTGTCGGGTGCGCGCTGCTGCCGACCCAGCGGCCCGGAAGCTTCTGGGAGGACAGAGGCCCCTGGCCGGCACGTGTGCGTGTGTGCTGCGGGGTTAGGTGCGCTGTGGAGTGCAGGGCTCGGAACCTACAATTAAGTGGTGCTTTCAGAGCTCGAAGTGGCGTGAGGACGTCCTGTGAGGGCCACGTGACCGGGGGCAACCGCTGGGTGCTCGGCTGACCCCTACCCCGTGCGTTCTCCGCCTCAGGAAGATTCACTTGGGTGCTCGAACTTGAGACGGTGCCATTCCGCGTCTCGACGGAGCCTTGTGCACGCGCGAACGGTGTGTTTCCCTGCGTGAGGCACAGGCCACAGATCCGTTTTGTCCACGCGGGAGGCCCGCTCAAGGAAGCGAGGCAGTGTTCCCCCAGAGTGTCAGGCAGCCGGTGTAGACAGCAGCTTTCTGATTTGGAGGCCACTCTGCAGGTGGGCGGCGTGCAGGCGAAGCCGGTCTCGGATGCGAGAGGCGGTCGTGCTGACGGGGAAGCGGGATTAGAGGCCGCACGTGTTCCAGTCGCCGGACTGTAACGCCCCCTGCCCCCCCTTAAGCCCATTAGTCTTGTAGAGCTGGAGTGAGGGTCTTCTGGCGGGTGAGCTTCCTGCGGGAGGGGTGAGGGGACCGGGGAGGGTCTGAGACGTGCGTCTCTTGCCCGCAGCCTGGCTTGCTGCTTCCTGTGGACACACCCCTGAGGTCTGTGCCTCTAGGGGCACGTGTGACGCGTGCCCTCTCGAGCCTCCAGGCCGGGGCTGGTGGAGCCGCCTGAGTCTTCGTAGGCCGAGGGACCGGAGCTCCAGCGGCCCCCGCTCGGACACCCTCAGCGCTGCTGCCCGTTGGCCCCGCGAGCCCAGCGCCCGGGATGGATTTGCTAGCTCTTGCAGGCCTTTGAGGCCAAGGCCCTGTGGCCATAGCTTGTCCGCTTACAGACTGTAGACGGCGCGCCTAGAGCGGGAGAGGCCTGCGGGGAGCCCGGCTACCACCTTCTGGAAACGGGGAGGCAGGGGGCTGTGTCCGCCGGGTTTTCTGCGTTCCCCGCTGGCCTTGCGAAGCAAGGTGGCCCTGTCCCGATGTAACCGCGTGCCACCCACCTGCATCCAACAGTTTTGTCGTCCAGTTAGTCTCGTCAAGTGTCTAGTTCTGTTCGTCGTGTGGCATTTGTACCTTCCTTTTGGGCAAAACGTGGTCCATTTATAAACATTTTTAATTTCCTTAAAAAACGTGGCTTCTTTATTTCTGCTATAAAATATGGCAATAAACGGGGCGAGGGCTGCGAGGCGTGTTAAGCACAGGTACTGTCTCCTGCAAGGGTCAGTAAAGTTCACAGAAAACTAACTGCAACTCGGTCTCGTGTGTGTAGAGGGCAGAGGCGGAATGTTTCCCCCCCCACCCCCCAAATTTATGTTAAAGTCCTAACCCCAGGGAGCTGGTATTTGGAGGTGGGACCTTTGGGAGGGAATTGGGTCACGAAGGTGGAGCCCCCATGATGGGATTGCGGACTTGGTGCAAGAGAGGACCCCCCCCCCCCCAGCCCCACCGACCCTCCTCCCTGGCGCAGTGAGGACATGGCGAGAAGACAGCTGGCCGTGAACCAGGCAGCCTCTCTCCAGGCCCCAGGTTGGCCGGCACCCTGATCTTCACTTTCCCACCTCCAGAAGGGTGAGGTACGTTTGTTTGGTGTGTATTTTTTTTTATTTTGAAAGAAAACAAGTGGGGGAGGGGCAGACAGGATCTGAAGCTGACGGCAGCCAGGCTATGGGGCTCGAGCTCATGAAGCGCCAGATTGTGACTTGAGCTGACGGCTGACCTCAGCCGGCTGAGCCACCGGGCACCCCTGCGGCCCTGTGTGAGCCGTCGTGTACTTTTGTCACAGGATGGACTGATCTGCAAGTCGTCTCCGAACCCCCCTGTGTTCCTGGCAGCTCGGGGCATGCCTCACTTGCCCACGAAATTTGGGCCTCACGTTGTCTCTGACCTCACAGGGGAACACAGGTGCGGTACCAGCAGTATCCCGGGAGTGGTTTGGAATCCTCACTTGGTGACCCTGAACTAGACCCCCTCGTCCTCACACCTTGTAGCAGTGACTGGCGATGCCTCCAGAGAGAATTTTCCTAATCCTGCCTCTGCCGCCAGCCACTTGGTGATGGGCTCACCTTCCCAGGGAGTTGGTGCTACCCCCGGGGCTGTGGGAGTCGCAGGGCAACGGCTGGTCCCCAGGGGCCCTTTTTCACGCAGGAAGTGGAAGGTAGGCCCTTCCCGTCTGCTTTGCTTTCATCCCTCGGGTTTTAGTCCTTCTAGAGCCACCGACCGGCTCCTAGCAAGGTTCTGTTTCTCCGCTGTCACACACCGTGTGTCCCGCACGTGCCGTGCGTCTGACGCGCGGCCGAGGCCCCTTCTGGGTTTCGCGCCCACTCCCACCCGGCCCGCGAGAGGCGAACAGACAGACCAGACGAGGTTGGTCATGTTTTGCCGTAAAACTTGAGTATGCTGGGTTGTGGCGTGAGGTATTTTTATTCCCTTTTGTTAGTACTTAAAACCGTGTGGTACATGTCGTAAGGCAAGTGACGAACTCGTCTCAGGCTCCTGGGCCGTTCGCACGCTGCCGCCTCCACACACACCAGTCAGGCTCCCCCGCGGCGGGTCGTCCGCTGTGCCGCAGGCGCTGGGAGGCGCTGGGTCGCTCGCCCCTCTGCACCGTGTCAGAACGGGTTTAAGAATACTAGGGCCTAGCAGCCCCCCGCTCTCCGCGGAGAATAGGCAGACGGACTTCGACCAGCAGGCGCCGAGTTCCCTGTGCGGTCCACCCGCCCAGGGTGCGCGGCGTCGTACTGTTAACACCCTGGGCGGGGGGGGGGGGGTTGGGGAATGAGTATAAAAAGGAGTAAAGAATGTTTTTCGAAGACAGGCACGATATATACTACTATTGAATGTGCAATTCCAAACCACAGTTGCAGGATACAGGTATGACGGGGGCACACCCACCCTCTGGGACGTCACATGTCACAAACGGCCCCGATCACGGACATACAGGTTCTCATGCTTGTGCAACAGCGAACACCACAGCGAGTGTGCTGACAGCGCGCTGGGCCTCTGCCTCTCTGAACAGAATGCCACCCGCTGCAGAGAGCGACCCCCTCGACAATTCGGTCAGCTTGTGCCAGGAACAGCGTTCCCTGGGAGAAGACCCCAGGGTGGAACGTACTTCGTGTGCTGCCAACTGCTTAGCAATCAAAGAAGTAAATCCTACTAACTTGCTACTATTATAAAAGTAGAAAGACTGAAAAAATGAAATCGGAAAATGATCTCATTTGCTTAAGACGGTGCCACAGGTATCACAAATGTTGGAAAATCCGTTTTGTTAAAATGCACCAGCCCCTAAGTCAAAAGAAGTTTCTTTTTTAAGACAAAGATGGGCACGTGCCCTGTCTCGTTTGGTTGAACAGATGTGGTACTGCTCTGAAGGTGCAGTTTGTGGAAGAAAAACTGTCATTTGGCACTACACTGATGACCACGTTTTAATACTGGCACGAGCTAGAAAGAGCCCTGCCCCCGGAGGATGACACACAGAGCCGCCGGCGTCCGCGGTGGCAGCCCGTTGCGCTCCGACGATACACGCACAGCTCGGAAAGACAAGGTTAGAACGGTTTTGCGGAGAGAGAGGGAGTTGCTGTAAAACCAGGGTGCTGGGTCCCCGCCAGGTGTTAGTTTTACGAGGTGTCATTAATACAGAGGAAAAGAAGCGTCTCCCAGGAAAGCAGCCACCGCTCACGCCACCGGCGTCAGTACACGTGGGATTCTTTGTGACTCAGGACATGGGCGCGGGAAGCCGAACTGGTGGCGCTGCGGATCACCTCCATCCACCTAAGACCGGAAAAGGAGAAGACAAGCAAGGGGCACTTAGTCTCGTCAGAGTGTCCCAGCGTCCGCTGTCACGCGACACGCTGGCAGCGGGTGTGTAATGTGCTGCGTTAGCGGCAGAGCTGATCCTCAAGTAACCGAGCGCCAGGCTGAGGGTTCCTTCGGGTGTTCCTGGGGAACAGTTCGAGAACCACTGACTGGGGCACGCATTTTGTAGAGAACCAGAGGTGTCCAGGATGGATGGCGCGGGGGTAGCTTCCTGCTCCACCTCCTAGTCTGTCTTGGACGGCGATGTGCAGCCCACTGTCTACCTTTAGGTATTGGCGGCTCCCAACAACCCGGGCAGACCATGTCTGGGGGCATCTTTGGTTGTCACAGCAGAAGGTGTGGAAGAGGCCAGGGATGCCTCTGCGGCACAGGACAGGACCCCACCCCCACCCCGTCCGCCAGAGAACGGGCCCCAAGGTTGGCAGTGCTGATGAGGGGAGGCCCAGCTTCCTGCCTGCAAGGCACGGAGGGCAGAGCTATAGAAACTCGAATCGCTGGTCTTTTGAGGATCAGTCCCCCAGGCTAGGTTCTGTGTCCAGGGCGAGATTTGAGAAGGGTTCTCCCCTGGGCTCACTCTGCAAGCAGTGGACCTTACTGGGAGGCTTTGACTTTGGGTTTCAACCCCTGTGCTGTTGCCACTGAACTAACGCTCGTGGTGGCCGTGGGTACGAAGGACCACACATGTCCTGTCGGCATGGGTGACCCACTGGGTCTGCTCTATGGCCTGAGGACCCCACCCCTGCCCAAGCTGCAGGGTGCCATTCCCGGGGGCCCAGAACGCCGACTTGAAATTTTGGGAATAGTCTGAAATCGGTCAGACGTGTTAGCCTGGCTCTTCCCATTCTACTTTGAAGATTAGGGCCCCTGGGCCGCCTCCCACCAGGTATTCGTCTCACTACTAAGGTAGCCCTGAGGCACATTATGTGTCTTCTTTCCTCAAGTGGCCTTCCGGCCCGGCATGGTCAGGCACAGACTAAACCAACAGGCTTGTTAGGGATTTAAAAGTGCACTGTGGGCGGCATGGACCCAGTACAGGCTAAGGGCTGATGTAGGGCAAAGGAGACCGCGTACCCCGCCCTCAACAAAGGTCCAGGACAGTTTGGAAGGGAGTAAGATGCCCAGGCCTGCTGCAGGCGCCGCGTAGCTGCTACTGTAATTGGCCCACTGAGAAGCCCGAGCGGAGGAGGCCGCCCGGTGCGGAGGAGCGTTACCTTTCGAACGTGTATTCGCTTTCGGCCCTGAAGTAGTACACGTGAGACTTGAAATGCAGCTTGAACACGTAGTCTTTGTGGATGTCCTCGGCCTCTGAGGGGATGGTGAGGGAATAGCCGAGCAGGGGCAGGCTGGCCAGCGGGTGATGGTCCTGGACAGTCAACAGAGGGCCGGGCTGAGGCCGCCCGCCCCGCGGTCCCGCTGCTGGGGCCCAGGCTGGCCCCGAGCCGAAATCGAGAGCCGGCCGTCCAACCGAGCGAGCGAGCCGCGCAGGGGCCTTCAGGGAAGTGCCCCGCCCTCGGCTGGCTTTCTGCACACGGGCCTCGCCGGGCTGCGGCACCTCCAGGACGCGGCCCCCCTGCTCACGCCGCGCCCCCCGTGCCTGGGCGGGTGGCTCAGGTGCCCAGGCGTGGGTCGTTTCCGAGGAAGGCCGCCCCCCCCCCAGCCCACCCCGGCCGGGGCACAGCCGTCACTGGCGCGTACCTGGTGGGACTTGTAGAAGAACAGGCAGAAGTTGGTGAACACCACCCACAGCTTCTGCCACCCGTTGCTGTTCTTGAATTTCCTCAGCAGGTTCCCGGACAGCTGATTCTGAAAGGCAGGGACGCCCATGAGGAGCTCGAGCTGGGGGGTGAGGGGGCGCCTGCACCGGAGGCAGCCTGGGCCCGCGTGTGGCCGCTCCAGCCCGATGTAGCTCTTGGCCCCCGGTCCCCGCTAGAGGTCAGGAGCACGTCTGGCTCCTCCACTGAAAGTCCATCCCCCCAGGCGACGTGCTGGCGGGCCCCGCGCGCCATCTAGTGGCCTTGGCAGGAACGCCCGCCTGCAGCGGAATGTGCCCCGGCCCTGTGACGCCCCGGAGCTGACGGAAGAGGAACCGTGGGGGCCGTGCCCCAGCTCTGAGGCCCGGACAGACGATCGGAGGAGCTGGTGGTGCCGTGCCCACCCCCCCCCCCCGCACGAGTTCCCCCCCACGGCTGCAGCAGGACACCGAGCACAGCTCTACGGCCTGACTCCAGAGCCCCACGGGCTGTGCCAAGACCCAGAAGGCCTGCCGCTCATTACCAGGGACACTAAAAGAAGCAGGAAAGGATGGCGGGGACAGTCCCACAGCTTTGTGTAAAATTTTACAAATATACCTGAGTTTGGGGTATTCTGTCCCTTTGCGACTTTTCCTACAAAGCATCATTAAATGACCTCTAAAAACAAGGGCCCGTGCCAGCAAGACAGAGAAGTTTAAATGTCTCTCCTCGAGTGGCTCACAGTCTGATGGGGAGACCGAGACGTGGTGGAAAGAGGGGGACACTGCAAATAGGGTTGCCCCCCACCGCCTGCATCACCCTGTCCGGCTGCCACTCGGCCACGGGCAGAATGACATGAAAACAGGGTACCTGGAGCTGCAAGCAAAACTGGGGAGCATCACACACGATCACAAGTCACCCTGCGGGCAAGGAGGGAGCACCCTCTCCTGCTGACTCCACTTCCTCCGGCTACGCGGGTCCGCGGTGCCCCATCCAGGCCGCTTCGCGGGGAGGCGCTAACCCCCTGCAGCCACCTTTCTGGAGCGTGCCGTGTTCAAACTCCCCGCTGCCCTAGCGGCCCCGTGGTCACGAACTGCACCCCAACTCCTCTCCCCTGGGCTTCCCTCGGGTACAGTTCTGTCCCCTTCTCAGGTCACAGGGCCCCCGAGACGCTGCCACCTCTTCTGTCACTGCTCTCTAGAGGCTGAACCCACCGGGGCGGACGACTCAGGTCTGCCTCCTACCTGGGCCAGTCCCCTCTGCTGCCTTTACCCAGAGCCAGCTGACGCCCCGTTTCCTTGCGCTCGTTCGCGGCGGCCCCCCTCCTGAACTCCCCGACTCCTCAGTGGAGGGAAGGCCTCTGTGCTCTGCCCTCTTCCTGGCTCACATCACTGCTCCGTCTTTATTCTGGCCAGGACTGTGTCTCCCACAAAGTTAGGTTCAAGTCCAAAGTCCTGGTACCTGTGGGCGTGACCTGATTTGGAAATAGGGTGTTTGTGGATGTCAAGGTGAAGATGCAGTAACGGGTGCCTGTTTTATAACACACCAGGGAGACCTCTAAGTGGGAGGCAGGCGGGGGGGGGGGGGGGGGGGGGGGGGG